ACCATCCTGGTTTTACTCTTCTATACACAGCCTACCATGTCAAAGTCCTTCCCAAAATGTGGCACCCAGAACAAACACAATACTGCAGCTATGATAGGATGAGGACAGAGTATAGAGGAACAGCCATCTCCTACTTACTAGGTACTACATTTCTAAATGCAGTTTAAGATCATATTAGCTTTTTTGGCTGCCATGTAACACCGTTGACTCATATGGAATTTCCGGTCCACTAAAAGCACCACATTTTTTTCAAATGATTCATCACCCCCAACATATCTCCCTCATCCTATACGTGCACAACTAGCTCTTGGAGCCAGTTTTGGAGGACTTTACCTTTATCTTTATTAAATATTATTCAATTTAATAAGCATAGCATTGATGCCTTCATTCAGGTCACTAAAAAATATTTAGCTGACTAGGGTCTAGGAAAGAGCCAGATGCCTCTCTCCAAGATGATATGTATCCATTTATCAAAATTCTTTGGTTCCAGTTATTTGACAAGTCCCCAAATCCACGTAAACTATATATAAAATCATTCATCCTCATCCCAAGCCTCTGCATCTTGTCTGCAAGTATATCATGAGAGACTTCGTCAAATACCTTGTTAAATCTAGGCATAAACTGTTTACATGATTCCCTCGATCTGCCTTGTCTATCTGTCAGAAAAGCAAATGAGATTACTCTGGGATGATTTATTCTTGATAAACCCGTTTTCGTCTCCCTCACAAACCATCTCTTATTCAAGGACAAAAATTTTGGCAGGAAATAAAAGCAAACCCACTGCCCTGTAATTTGAAGAATTCATCTTCTCCTTTTTAGAAAACTGGGACAACATGCATCCATATCCAACCCAAGGGCCTCTCTCCTGTTCTCCGTAGTCCCTCAAAAGACGCTGACCACAGCTCAGCAATCACACCTCAGGTTCAGGGTTGTAGTTCAGCCAGACCTGGTGGCTTGAACTCATTGAGGACAGCTTGGTATCCTTTTACGATTTCCTCACTAATCATGGCCTCCCGTGCCATGTTAACCATTTTTCTTCTATACTTCCAAGTCTGAGGACCATCTTCCTTAGTAGGAAAAAAATATGCATTGAATAGTTTGCCTTCTAACATCTGTAATCATCATCTCATCTAACCCCAAACAACAGTTCTATCCCTTCTTTGAGTTAGCACAATATAATTGTGATGGAAAACTCTGTCAATATATCTGCTAGAGCTTATTGTCTCCAAAAAGCAGAGCAGCTAATAAGTTCATAATTTTTATAAATAATGATTTGATTTTTCAAAAGCTTAGAGGAAGCAAGAGAACTATTCTGAATCTGATCCTGACAATGGGGAAGAATTTATTGCCAAAGTGGAAATCCCATGAGAAATTGACCACACTATCTTAAAATTTATATAGATTATAATTTTATTATAAATTATTATATATAATATATTTTTATTTTAAGTTTTTTAATTTAATTTTAAAAATTATATGTTATATAATATAGAAAATATAAATAAATTATTGTACAATTTATATATAACTTATAAACTATATATAAAATTTATAATAGATAATGAGAGGAAAACCAAGCATACATAGATGCCTTAGATATGGGAGTGGGGATTTCATAGAACTCAGAGAAGGTATGGGTTGAACCCTAGCATCGCAGGAAAAGTTGGCTTAGGAAGGATGGGCTGCTCTCAAGATCAAAATTCTGACCATAAAAAAACAAGTGATTCCAGATGAGGAAGCAAAGGGGACCTGTCTGAAGAGACTAAGGTGGTTGCTCAGGGAATTCATCAACCAATTTAGTTTTTTTTGAAGTTTTACATAGCAAGGGTAGATAAGGGAGTCTGAATACAAAGAAGTAGCAAGTTGGCCTTATAAAAATTAACATCTGGAATACTAAGCCCCAGAAAAAGAGGAAACAGAATTGACTGACAATGAATACCAAGAAAAATGAAGAGAACTTTTTTTTCCCTTAAGCTGTTTTACAGGCAAAGGATTACAGAAAGGATAGGTGTGCGGAGTAGATGGGATAGTGACGAAAGTAGGTGAAGGAAGAAGAATTCACAAAACTTGGCAACTAGCTAGATGAGGACATAAAGAAAAAGGAAGGGGATTAAAAATGACAGGTTTTGAGCCTGGGTAACTAGGAATGTGGTGAGACCATGAACAGAAATAGGGAAGTCAGTCGGAAAGAAATGTTTCAAGGAGAAAATAATGAGGTTCATTTTGGACATGGTGACTTTATTATCAAGGTATCATCAAAACATCCAATTAGAGAAGTCCAGTAGGCAACCAAAATAGGTGTTTGAAGCTCAGACAACAGTTAAATATAAAGCTTTAAGAGTCATGACGTTGTTGTTCAGTCATTTTTCAGTCATGTCTGAGTCCTCATAATCCCATTTGGGGTTTTCTTGCTGGATACAGAAGTGATTTGCCATTGCCTTCTCCAGATCATTTTACATTTGATGAGACTGAGGCCAACAGGGTTAAGTGGCTTGCCCAAGATCACACAGCTAGTATGTATCTGAGGCCAGGAAGCCGAGTCTTCCTGACAACAGGCCTGGCATTCTATCCACTGTGCCACCTAGCTGCCAAGTCATGAATATAGAGATGATAATTGAAACCATAATAGTGGATGAAATTACTATGGGAAAGCACACGAAGGGAGAGAAAAGAGTTAAGGATAGAATTTGGGGAAACATTTCTTTTTAGAGAATATTAGGAAAAGTGACACTTAAGGAGACATCAAAGAAACAGAGAAGAAGGAGGTCAACCAGGATAGTACAGCATTAGAGAAAACAAGAATGAAAATAGGATTAAGAACAAGACAGTCAACAATGGCACGAGCTAGAACTGGGCCGGAGAACACAAAGAAAAGAACGCTGGATTTTAGATTGTCATTGGTTACCTTTGAGAGTATTTTGAGTGGAGATTTGGTAGCAGAAGTCAGATTATGAGGAATTGAGGACCGAGTGAATGGTACAGAAACAGAGGCAGGAGGTATAGGCTACTTTTGTATGAAGTTAGACGTAAAAGATGGGAGAAATTGAACAGTAGCAAAATCACAGCGAGGACTTTTTTGGGCAGTGGATGAGAAGCCCGAGTACGTCTACAGACAGAAAAGAGTGGGAACAAATAGAGTGGGAGAGAGTGATGATGCTCAAAAGAAACAGGATGAATGGAGTGAGATCCCCAAGCAGATAAGAGGACGATGAGATCGAGGGTACAAATGGAGGAGATGGTCTTGGCAGGAAGAAGGCTCACATCTTCCTCTTAAGACAGAAGGGAAGAAAAGTTTTGTGGTCTAGAAGCTAAGGGAGGAAATGTCAGGTGGTCTCCATCTTCTTAGCAATCTAGGTAAGGTATCTGCTGAGACTGAAAGAGGAAAGAAAGGGTCTGGGGCTTCCAGGAAGAGACGTGAAACAGTGACTGAGGAGAATGTGATAGTGAGTGAGCCAGACATGAATAAAGCGACTTCATGTAAATTCAGGAGTCAGACTCCTGCTGCGGACAGGAACATATGCCTATGCCGACAGAGACTTACTCCACCCGTTCTTCCCCCACATAACTCAGAATCCCTGGCTGCCGCCACGTGCTGGTAATTAGGGGCTGTCCATTGCCAGCCCGACTTTGGATCCGGCACGTAATTTACATATTGCCACGTACATACAACATCTGGTTTTTCTAAGGATTTTCATTGGTAATGCTTAGTCATGGCATAGATGGGGGGACAGGTGGGACGAGGCCGAAGATGTACGTTAACAAAGTGGTTAGCCAGCTGTTGCTGTTGTGTTAAGTGCTTACTATACGCCGGATTCAATGCTAAGCACGGGGGATGCAATGGAAAGGCAAAAACAATCTTCATCCTTGAGAAACTCACATTCTAATCAGGGACAAAATATACGAACACGTATATGCAAGACATGTACAGTATAAATGGAAGATGCTCTTAGAGGGAACTGAGTAACAGCAGGTAGGATTGAGAAGGTGGTCTTTGCAGAAGGTGGTCACTCAGATGAGCTGAGTCTTAAAGGAGGCAAAGGATGCCAGGAGGCAAAATGGGGACAGAGAAAATTCCAGGCATGGGAGACAGGGAATCGGGAGCTGAAAACTCTCCCCCTCCCAAAACAAAAAGCCATGACATTTTTAAAACAAAAATTTCAGCTCAACTTCTAAAGGTTCGAAGTTATTGTGAAAGCTCGAATTCTTACAAGGTAGAGGTTCTTGGGTCTTAAATAGACTGTAGTGCTCACATGCTGTTCTCCAGTACTGCCCTCTCTTTCTCTCTCTTGCAGGAACTCCTGAATCTCTCATCTAGAAAAGAATTATAGCCCCACCTCAGCATACATACTCATGCCTCTCTTCCCCTCTATCTCCCTGCCTCCCTTCTCCCATTTCTCTAGGATGTCAGCTTTGAACCTAGCTAAGGCAATGAATATCCTTATTTTCTTTTTTTGTTTGTTTGGTTTTTTTTTTTTAATGTAGAGCAATTGGGGTTAAGTGACTTGCCCCAGAGTCTCACAGCTAGTGAGTGTTATGTGTCTGAGGCCGGATTGGAACTCAGGTCCTCCTGACTCCAGGGTGGGTGCTCTATCTACTGTGCCAACTAGCTGCCCCTCATCCTTATTTCTATTTTTATTTTTTTAAAAGGCAATTGGAGTTCAGCGACTTGACCAGGGTCACACAGCTAGTAAGTGTCAAGTGTTTGGTCTGAGGCTGGATTTGAACTCAGATACTCCTGACTTCAGAGCCAGTGCTCTATCCACTGTACTACCTAGCTGCCCCTCATCCTTATTTTCAATGGAAGAAATGGAGATGCCATCCCAGGGGTTGGGGAGGCAGAACTGGTGAGAACCAGGAGATTTGGGCCAAGATATTAGCCAGGCCTCAGAGTTAGGATTTGCTGCCCTGAGCCCACCCCAGCCTTTCCATTCTTCCTTAGTAGCCATGCCCTTGCTCTCTCCTCCCTCCTAATCTTTCCTCTGGCCTTTGCTCTGTTGTAGGCTGGAAGCCTTGCCCTGTATGAAGAGTGTTCCCCTTTTCCCACGTACAGTATCCAAACTTGTAACTCTCTTTCTTTGCAACATATCACGCTGGAGGAAGAGGAGGAAGCTCCTGTCCTGGCTGCACTCAAGAGAGAGAGAGAGAGAGAGAGAGAGAGAGAAGAAAGCGGTTGGGAAACAGAGAGTTGCCCTGGTTATGTGGTGGGGTCTTTTTGTTTTTAAACTCTGAATTGATTTTTGCTTTCTTTCTTACAAACAAAACAACCAACAACAAAAACCTGAAGACCAGAAGGCAACAGAACTGGACACATGGAACCAAGCAAGCCTTCAGGGAGGCCAGTGACCCAAAAGGCCTTGGGTTTCTTTGAGCCAACCAGAGCTGTTGGGAAGAGACAGCTTGGAGCACTTTGCTGCACAGTAGTGCTAGAGGAGGTTTTGCTGGGACCAGTGAAGCAGGTATCCTCCTGCCCAGTCTTGCAGGAGGAAAAGGATCTAAACCAAAGCCAGTGAGGGGCTAAGGCCAATGTCTCGTGCTTTGTTTTTTGATTGTTTGGGGGTTTTTTTAAGTGAGTCTCTCCACATCTGGAGTGGAAAGAACCAAGGCTGACAAGATGTTGAACTTCTAGAAAGAGATAAGTATTAAGATCTAGCCCTCATGAGCGTGGGGAAAGGGAGGGAAAGGAAAGCGGGAGAGAGGGACCTGCTGGTCCCCTGGCTTATCTGCCCTCTCCTTACTGGGGAGGCAGGACTTACTTCTTTCAGTCATATCATTCCTTAGAGTTTAGGGACCAAAGGACTATTGCTTTTTAAGAAAAAACTATATCTATATAAATAAATTAATTTTCAAAAACAAAACAAAAAGAGAAACAAAACAAGGTCAAGTACAGAATCTCAGAAAAGCTGCATTGAAACAACCACAGAAAAGGATGGTCCTGGGGAGAAAAGGGTAGAACCTCCCTTCCCCCCCAGAGGCATAAGGGTAGTAGGAGATCTGAAGGGGCCTGGGAAGGGGGAGGCTGAGGGAAACTTTCTGCTGAGTATTTTATTCCCTGGTTATCCCCTCCCCTTTCTCCCCCCCTCACTTTTTACACGAAATAAAGGAGATTGGACTTGTGTGCAAGTGATAGAAGAGCCATGGTAACAGTGACTCTCCCACAAACCAAGTGTCAACCCCTCACCCTAATGACCCTCCAAAGCCCAGTAAATGGACCCTTTCTGTCCCAGAGCACTGACTTCACTGGACCCAGCTTCATGCCCCGTGTGAACGCAGGCCGATCTTACTCCCGGTTCTAGGGTCCCAAACTGAGCTACCCCCTTATTTCTTCCACTTGGCACTTATAACCAGATTGGCACCATGGCCTTTGCTCTCTGGGTAAAGGGAGCTGGCACAGGCATGAATGCCAGACTTGTGTTGTACACCAGGAATAATTCCTTCCTTTATTATCTGCTTTGAGCTTACATATCCTTATTAGTGCTAATTCTATAATGATTTTAACCTCACCCATAGACTATCACCCCCAGCCTAGCATAGTGTGAGAAAAGAAGAACTGGCTGGAGGGAGGGAGGGCAACACTTTAACTCCAACTTAAGTCAATAAACACATATTGAATATCTACTATGTGCAGAGCACCGTCCTAGGCACTGAGGGAGAGGCAAAGATAAATAAGACCCATCCGTGGCTGTCAGAGTTAATAATCTTGTGAAGGAGTTTCTAATCTAATAGACCCTGAAGAGAAGAGCAGTTGGGAAAGCTTCCTAATCCCTAGGCAGGTGAATCTTCTCTGAAGGTTTCCTCTCCCTCTGACTCCTCCCTCCCTCACCATCCCAAGCACTTCAGGTCCAGCCCATCTACTGCAGAGCCCAGAAATGTGACTTTTAAAAAAGTGAAAAGAGGAATTTGCTGAGTTGTTAGTCAGTAAAGAATCTAGCTGGTCAAAGATGGATATCTGTCCAGCCCTGGGTGAGTCCAAGGAGTGGCCTAGTTTGGCAACCTCAATCCCTCAGTCATCTGCTGCTTTGGCTCACTGACCATCAGGGAGTAAAAGTGCAGAGGACTGTGGGGAGGGGAACATGGAAGAATCTCCCTTGATCACTCCCTCACCATATGGAAGCTTCTCATATCTAACGAAGCCTGCTCCTTCTCTGATTCCAGATCACCTACTATGTCCCCTCCTCAGTTAGGGAAGGGAAATGAGAATGAGGTGGCAAGAAGGATTTGACTAGGAATACCTGGCAAGCAGATCCCAAGTTTTGCTCAGCTTAAAAAAAACACTTTTTTCTTCTGTCCTTGCTCAGGTCAAAACCTTAAAGCTAAACAACCTTCAAGGTCATAGCACCCCACACTCCTTTTTAGGTGGGAAAGCTGAAGCTCAGAAGGGTAAAGCCCATGGTCACACAAGAAACAAGCCTCTGATTCTAGATCTAGCATCCTTCCCACTGGGCCATATGTTCTCTCCTAGGACCAAAAAAAAAAAGCCACAGTCCTATGCTGGGCCATGAAGCACCTTGTCCCCACCCCTTCTGAGGAATATACCCTGCCTCCTGAGTCTATCACTTCTCTACCTTGGCCTTACCTTGCTCTCTCAGCTCTCCTCTCTGGGCCTCAGTTTGCCCACCTGTCCTATAGACTTAGAATGTGCAAGAAGGGTTGCACCTCTGGCAAGAAAGGTTCTATACCATATATCTTGACAGATAAGAAAAGGTAATTTTCATTAGGTTGTTTCAAAATGGGAGTGTCACATTACACAAGACCCATCAAGGAAAAAATGTTTTGCCAAAATACTTTTTCATTCCTCTAAAAAAGGCACCTCTCCTATGCAACAGTGTCTCATGGGTGCTTCTCTATGGTGCTTTTCTACAGTGAGTTGCAGTATACAGCTTATACACAGCAGGTGCCATCTGTTTGCTTATATATGGCAGTGCACTGTATGCTTATATGCAGCAGGCACAGTATACAGTTTATATACAGCCTGCACAATCTGTCCATTTATATAGAGCAGGTGTAATCTGCTGCTTATGTACAGCGAGTGCCATCTGTCTGCCTATACGCAGTGGTGCTGTCTGTCCACTTACAGAAGGTGGACACAGTATACAGCTTATATATGACAGGTGCTACTATCTGCTAACACAGAGAGGTTGCTTACGTAGCAGTATATTTAGTCTCAGTGCAGCCTCTTACCTAGGAGAATACCTCCTCTCTCCCAGGCCAGCCTGGAGCTCTCAGATGTTTTTCTGAACGCTGAAGTTTGCCATGCTGTAGCTAATTCCCCACAAGATGGGAGCCCCATAAGAACTGGTCTGCCTATCCTGCTAGCTGAGGTGTTAGGATGGTTGATCCCCTTGATCCCCAAATGTTGACAGGGCAGGACAACTGGCAAAGTGGATGTCATGCCAAGCGCTGAGAAGCCTGATTAGATAATGCAGGGGCCTTTGGAGGGGAATCATCCCCAGGCTTCCCTTCCCCAGTCCTCCTATGGTACAAAAGCTAAGGCTTATTTTCCCTCACTTATGAACCCTGGACTCTTCCTCAAAAAATCTTTCCCCTTTTCCACCACAAATACATTTTCTCTGGAAAAAAAAAAAGCTCAGCTATATCTATCCTAGTGTCCCCCTACACTCATTCTCTCTCTCTCTCTCTCTCTCTCTCTCTTCTCTCTCTCTCTCTCTCTCTCTCTCTCTCTTTCTCTCTCTCTTCTTTACACACACACACACACACACACACACACACACACACTCTGGTCTTTCCATAATGCTGGATCCCAGGGCCTTCCTCAAAGTAAATCTGTCTTTCCTTCACCCCTGTCTCTTCCTTCCCACTGTTGTCACTGTTACAGGAAATGAGGTTTCAGTCATAACCTCATTTGGCTAGGCTTAGCTTGTAATCCTGGGTCACTCACTCTGTGTAAATTCCCCATGTCTAATTGGGCCCTAAAATGGGAGAACATGTCCCAGAGGAAGGAGCAAGGGAGTTTCCCCTTCTTCAACCCAAGGATTATTTAGGGAGGATGGGTAGAACCACAGAATCTCCAATCTCTTTCATAATCATTTTTAAAAGACTTTTCCCCTTTCCCCACCTGTACTGCTGTCATGATTCTCCTGGGGGAAGCAGGAAATCACTAAAAAATTAAAGCTGGAATAAAATTAGGGAAAGTAAAGGACTTGCTCATACATATAGATAAAATTAGAATCATTGAATCATTCCCCCTGCACCCCAAAACCTCTTCTCCAAACTAACCATCCCCAATTCTTCAACCATTCCTCCTGTAACTTAATTTTGAATTCTTTTAGCAAATCCACCCACTCTAGACAAGCTCTAGTTTGTTAATATCTCTCTTAAAATATAACACCTGTAACTAAATACAGTACTCCTAATTTCGCCTGACCGGCACAGAGTACAGGGTTATTATCACTTCTGTTCTCAACATAAGACAATCTGAATGCAAATGCAACCTAAGATCGCACTAGCTTTTTTCGGCAGCCATTACTGACATATTGAATTTACAGTCCATGCAAAGCCCCTGTCATGTCCCACCTGGTCCATGCAAATGAGACCAGGTGGCCAGGAATGAGTCCATGCATGATAAATGGAAGTGAACTTAATCTAGCTTCAGCCTTCTCTTTTGGCCTCATGTCTTGTCTAAGAATGGGAAATTTGCCTGCTAAGCATCAGAGCGTCCCAGTCCAGGGCAAAAGTAGAAGATACGGTCAGAGATACAGCCTTGTTAGCCAGGCATACAAAATGCATTATTCTTGGGCAGGAGTGCAAAGGAGTATTTGATAGCCAGGTAAACAACATAGAACATTAGAAAGATCTGGGTTGATAAAGTCTTATTAGGGCCCCGTTTTTTTATTCCAGGCCCATGCTTTTAAGTCTACTTAGGAAATCATCACTATTTGCTCTCTGGTTAACCCATGCCATCTTCAAATCTTTTTCACATGAACTGCTAGCCATGTCTCCATCCCCTACTTTATTAAAAGCAGAACCTAAGGGCAGGACCTTGCATTTTTGCCAACTAATGTAATCTTCATTTTGGCCCAATATTCTAGCCTGTTGAGATCTTTTTGGACACTGATTCTATCATACACTGTATAGCTTCATTTCATCTGAAAACTTGATAAAAATGCCTTCTATGTATTCAGTCAGGTCATGGATAAAAATGTCAAACTGGACAGAACCTGGCGGCATGCTCTTTGAGATGTCTTTGCAGATTGATACTGATCCATTGACCAACAATTTTGGTTATGGTTGTTCAACCAGCTGGAAATTTACCTAAAAGTGCAACTGTCCACAAATATATCTCAAAAAACTTTGTCAAATGCCTTGCTGAAATGTAGATGCACTACACTGATGGTATTTCCCTGATTATATCAGTCTCATAACTGTTTTAAAATAAGGAAATTGTTAGTTTGGTATGATTTGTTCTTCGTGAATCTATGCTGACTCCTAGTGATGACTGCTTGGTTGTCAAAGTGCTCATAAACCATCGATTTAATAATCCATTGTAGAACTTTGCCAGGGATTGATGTCAACAGGGAGGGTGCAATTCACATGCATACACATGGACAGACTTGCCTGCATACATATACACGGGCACACAGGCCATTAAGCTACCATATCCAGGTAGCCACTGTGTGACTTCAGGCACCAGAAAGGCAGTCTACTTCCCCCCCAAAAAAAAATCTCCCTCTTCTTCGCTCTAGTAGTTGAAGGTTTTGATCCTGTTAAAATGTGAATCCCTGAGGAAAGCTGAGTGGATGGGAGAGGATGGACTAGACTTTAAGTTGTTATCAATCATTTACTCCTGAATGTGGATGAATTTAATAGACTCTTTCCAGATAGGAGGGTGAGTAACAACAGGAGGACCCTAGTTGTTAAGGGAGATAGGGAAGAAGGGGAGCCACCAGGAGATGAGGAGACAGAGGTACCAACACAAATTCCAGTGACTTCACAATTTTATCCAGGGTCAGCCCTGACATATATATACACACTGACAAATATACATGATGATAGACATATAAAGACAAAAACACACAAAGATGCACACATAAAACCTTGAGGAAAATTGAAACCCGTCTGGCCAGAGATCTATAGAGTCATGTGGTACCTTCCATTATTGCTGATCAATAGGAGACACAGATCAACACCCCTGCCCTTAACTCCCAGCTCAGCCTAATCCAGTCTATCAGAGGAATCCAGCTTGAGAACAAAGAGGGTGGGACATTCCAACCTGTCAGTCCCTACTCCCTTCCCTGAGAATTCCTATTCCTATCCCCAGAAAGAAAGAGATAGGTGCCCCAGGGCACCAAGGTCTCTGGTTCCTATCTACAGGAATGGCAGCTGGATCCCCTACCACAAGGGGCTTTTGCAAACACCAACAAGCTTTTCCCTGGGTTTGCTGGACAGCCTAGGGGAGGAAGGTTGTGGGTGGGAAGAAGAAGGAACCAGGGTTATCTTGTGGTATTACCCAAACCTGAAAGGAGTTAGATTTACCCTCTCTCTTACAGGAAAGATAAAATCTACAACTCCGATTTCTTTGGAAGCTAAGGGATCAAAAAGAAGTTTAGATCTGTACTAGTGGTGGGAGAGGGGGGAAAGAGTTCTCCTGTCCTCATTGCTCCTTTACCATTGAGAGGAAGGAAATGAAGGAGAAGAAATGCTACTTGCCCAACTACTAGGGATTAAGCAGGATAGTACTCAAAGCCGAGATTCCATCTTTTATCTTTTATTCTGGGTCCAAGTTCCTTTTGGAAATAAAATCTCAAAACTCACATTCACAGCCTCTTCTATCTCCTTGGTCTCTACACAAATAAAATCTTGGTGTGAGTCCCAGTGATGGTGGAGGGCAGGGATCAAAGACTCCACCTGGTGAAAAACTTTTGGGTAATCAGCAATAGCAGAGTTGCAGATAGCAGAAAGGAGCAACTGTCTCCAGCCACAAGAGGGTGAGTGAAGAACACACCAAGCACTGTTTCTCAAACACACTATGGTGTTAATGTCCACAGACAAATCATAGAATCCCACAGCCCATGTGGTCTGACTTCCCACCCAATGTAGGCATCATTTCTATACCATCTGACCACTGCTTAAACACATTTCACCTCTCTAGATCTCAATGTCGTCATGTATAAAATGGCATTTGGAAGTGATAATCTTTAAAGTCCTCTCCAGCTCTAAACTTCCAGTGAAGGGACATTAACTATCACCCAAGGTTCATACATTGTTGGACAGCTCTAAAAATTAAAAAGTTCTCCATGATGTGGTAATATATACCCCCCTGTAACTTTCACCCATTGATCCTACTTCTGTCCTCCGAAGTAGAACAAGCTTACTCCTTCCATACAACAGTCCTTCAAATATCTGAAGACTTTTATAATGTTCCCTCCTAAGTCTTCTCTTCTCCAGAAACATCCCTAACTCTCCAGTCATTCTTTACATGGCATGGTTTCATCTCTCACCATTCAGATAACCCTGCTTTGGATATAAAGTTTTGTCAATCTCTCTTAAAAAGTAGTATGCTCATGATTGAATGCCATACTCCAGAGATAGTCTGACCAGTAGGACAGTTAGCTCCCACAATCTGCACATCATTCTACTTATTGCAGCCTACAGTCAAATTAACCTTCTTAGCAGCTGTATCACAGTTATTTCACATTAAGTTTTTGTGAAACAAAAGATGCCAGGACTTTTTTTCATAGGAACCATAGCAAAGTCAAGACTCCTCCCATCTTGTACTTGTACAACGGTTTTTGGTGGGGGGATTTTTAACATTTGCCCCTGTTAAATTTCATCTTGTTGGTTTGGACCCAGAATTCCATCCCACTAATATTATTTTATAAATATATGTTTAATCTTTACTCATGACCAAAGAAGTAAAAAGATATAATAAAATACATTAAAAATACCTGCAGGCAGTCTATGCATCCAAAGCCCCATGCCACTCACAACAAAGGAGTTCCTAGACAAATTTCAGATACCTAGATTCAAATGCTCATACAAGTACCTGCAGTGTTCCAAATACTGGTTTTAGCAAATACTTCCATTTTGCCATTCATTACTAAGTATCTCCTATCCTGCCACAATAATTTTAACTCTTGATTCTATCAGCCAGCATATTATCTATCCCTTTAATATGTATCTATGACAGAGTTATACAAAATAATCTGGTCATGAAACAATTTGGGGCTGGAAATATATTGTGAAAACCCAAAAGTTCTGGTCCCAGGAGACACTGGGATAAAAGGCCATTTGGGAAATTACAAAGGAAAACAGAAGTTCAGAGGACAAAACATGAAGAAAGACTGTAGTTCACATATCAGACACAAGACATGAGGGAGATGATGGGGAATGGGTCAAATAAAGCATAAGCATTCACAATTTTGAATTGTGAGAGACATAAGTTATAAGAGAAACATGTATTATGGGTTTTTCAGCCACACAATGAGTGGGAAGGATAATGAGAGTGGAGCATCATACAATGTAAAAGGAAGTTGTAGAAGGCCTGTGTCAATGATGGTGGGGGTTAGAGGGAAGTCCATAGTGAATATATGACACATAGTGTATGAATAGGGAAAACTGAGGATATACGTATTAGAAAATTTCGGAGAGGTGGTCAGATCAGTGTTGGAGGTCACAGTGATGGTGGACATTGAACATGTAAGGGGAGACTGGTAAAGAACAGGTACACACAATGTGAAGAAATATAGGGCAGTGGGGTAATGCAGACAGAGATTGAGCTGCAGGATGAGAGGGATGGGGATGGATCTGCAGTGAGCAAAAGGGGAGGACAGAGACTATCCTTCTCACACCCAGGACACAAGATAAAGAAAGCTCAATGTCAACAGTACCCCAGTTTCTCCCCCAACCAATGCAATGGTTGTCCTAAAAACAATTCAAGTTTTATAAACCCTAAGAGTTAGAAGGCACCTTGAATCCAAGTGAGGCCATTGAATCCAATCCATGCTTGAACAAAACTCCCCTCTATGACATACCTATTTGATGATGTCTAACTTGAAGACATTCGAAGAGAAAGAATAGCATACCTCCTAAGCAGCCTATTCCTCCTATGAAAAGCTCTAATTAGGAAATTTTTCCTTCTGTCAAGCCTAAATTTGCCTCCTGGCAGCTCCTACCCATTGCTCTTATTTCTGTCTTCTGGAGCTAGGCAGAACAAGTGTAAGTAATCCCTCATCCAAGAGACACCATTTGAAATACTTTAAGGCAGCCATCATGTGGCCCCTAAGTTTTCATACGGCATGATTCTAAAGCCCTTTGTCATCATGGTTGCTATCCTCTGGGTCATAAAGCATGGAACCCACTGAACACAAGACTTCAGATGAGATCTAACAAGGGCAGAGTAAAGCAGAACCTCCCTAATCCTTCATACTACAGGTATCAAGCATAGAACTGCTGGCCACATGTGACCCATAACACTATCCTGTATGGCCCAAACCAGATTAAAATGTAATTGAGAAATATTTTTAAATTAACAAAAATTCAATAAAACATAGATAATATTAACACGTGATTTTCTAAGTCAATACACAACCCAAACACTACACCTTTCTTAATACAACCTAAGGTCACATTGGCTTTCTTGGCTGCTATCTTGAGTCAAAGTGTTGATTCATGTCAAGCTTGGTGTCTATTAAAACCCCTCAGATAATTTTCAGACAAATTGCTGATCTAGCCATGTCCCTAGGCGGCATAACGGTTTAGATGGCTGGACATAGAGTCAGGAGGACCTGAGTTTTAATGCTTATTAGCTGTGCGACTTCAGGCAAATTACAACCTCAATTTCTCAGTCTCAGTCTCCTCATCTGTAAAATGAGGATAGTCTGTATAATGAGGTCAGTCGTACTCGCACAGAGTTGTTGTGAGGATCAAATGAGATGACACGTGTAAAGCCCTACTGACATTGGGGTTTTTTTCTTTATCTTGTCCTAGGTATGAGGTTATTCTCTAACCACCACACTCTCTCCCCCACCTTTTGCTCACTGGCTTCCATTCCCATCCTTCTCATGCCGCATATCAATCTTTTTTTGGTTTTTTTTGTTTGTCTGTTTTTTTGGTGAGGCAATTGGGGGTAAGTGACTTGCCCAGGGCACACAGCTAGTAAGTATCAAGTGTCTGAGGCTGGATTTGAACACAGGTCCTCCTGACTCCACAGCCAGCGCTCTATCCACTGCACCACTTAGTTGCCCCTGTACATCAATCTTAAAGCAGTGTGTATGTGCTAGTTCCTCCGTCTCTAAGGAATTTAGTCCATATTATCCTAATTATTCTTTCTCTAACCCCTTAGAAACTAGTACTTCTAAAATACAGTTATAGCATGGTAAGCTCTGGTCCTCTCTCCCAAAGCCAGGCTAGTTACATCACTACTCAGGGTTCCAAGGTTTGTGGCTGTGTCTTCTATTCTACCATATGCTGGCGAAGTATACTACCATATACCTCAGCAATGAATTCTTCCATTTCTTAGGAGGCCAATAACTAGAACCCCATATCCAGTTAACCACTTAACATAGTTTAGCATTTACAAAGAAATATTTACTTCACACATATGGCAAAAACAAATGTTCAAAAAATTTTCCCAATGTCTTCAATGTATATTCTCTCCTATAACACTTCAGTCTCTGGGGAACTGGGCTCAAAACTTAGCTCAGTACCTACATAGCATTGATCCCACCAAGTTCACATGCAAAGGTATCATCAATGCTGGATGAATCTTGTTTCAGCTTTCACTGGCATAGGTCCAGAAAGTCATTTCAGAAAATCATTCCTTATACATTAGAACATGAATTCTGGTCTGGTGGCAACAATTAGCCTTGAGTTCCAACCCCCAGATTCCTGTAGCTTGCTCTCCCCACCAAGTTGGAGACGCCAGGAAGTGGTGTCTCCAACTTGGTGGGGAGAGCAAGCTACAGGAATAGAAAAGAATAAATTGAAAGGCCAAGGAGGCCTCATTTCTCAAGGGCCATAGTCTCAGAAAGGGAAGAAGGCCATGTAGCCTTTTGATTAACAGCACAGTCACTGTGAGTAAAGGAGTCTCCTTGCTCCCCAAGATGGAAATGCAGTAATGAGATGATGAGATGACTGAAACCTCTTTAAGGATGTTGTCAGTTCAGGCTATGAAACCAAATTAAAAAGGCTCCACCCACCCATATGGCCAGCCAACTGGAACTAGTTACAGAATGTCCATGTAGGTTCCACAGTCTCTCCAAGGCTCTTCCCTTCCCTTCACCACTATCATGATTTTCTCAGAAGCCATCTCCCCAGCCTCCTCCATGTGGAAAAATACCATTTGAGCAAATTAATGGGGTCTGCACATGTGTCAGCTTCCTATTACATAGAAAGTTCATGTCAGACTATACCTGGCTTTCCTCAGTCACAAATTCTGAAATAGGCACTTCCCTATGAAGTAATCATTACTTCTTACCCAGTAACCAGTTCCTCCTTTGTGGTGAGAGTCATGTCCAGAATAGCCTTTAACTTTGTTGGTTCACATTTTGGAATATGAAATTTAAGGCAACCTAGAAAGTTGTTTGCCTTCTGCTTTAGGCAGACAGGGAGCTCTGTAAGATACACAAATATTTGAAGTCCCCCGTCACTACCATATCACGCCATCGCACCAATGCTGTCATCTGTCTATATCCTGAATTCATCTATTTCTTCCTTCTGTCTAGGTGATCTATAATTCTGTTCCTTTTTTTACTTTCACCTGAACAATATCCATCATGCTTCCCAGACTTCCTCACAAGTTTATCTT